TGAAAGGATAGTGATTATGATAAGCATTGTCTACTCAAGGAAGATCCATTATTGAAATAAAGCACCCACTGGTATAAAGACATGCTATTATTAGTAACATAAAATGCACCCATTAATAGATTAACTATTTTGAAACACCTATAAATCATTTTAAATTCGAAGAAGTAAAGACATGGTACATAATTTGCATTGAATAATCATAGTGCTATTAACTAAAAAAAAATCGTTTTTTTTTCCTGTTGTCATTCTCAAGTCTTAAATTCACGATTATCATCGATTCATTAGCATATACTAATAATCAAACCTCTCAAATAATATTATATCATATTAGAAAAATAGTATTTTAGAATGAAGGTTTACCCAAGTAAATGAAAAAAAAAAAATATGGAAACACATTAATAACTTACGAGATCTTTAAGAGCCACACTTCTCTAAATATGAGCCAAAGTGAGTCACGTAGGAGCCATATGATTGGTGATGATTAAGTAGCTAACGGGTAATCAAGTAAGAAGCCATGTTGCGAAAGTTTGATTAGTCGGTTAGATTAGGATTCCATATTATCAACAACATTTTAGTGCTTATGGCTTAATGGGTGTGGCGGCTAAGCTAACAAAAATAAATAAATGGAGCCAAACTCTTTCTAATTTGTATATGCCAAATTGAAAGTGGTTACAGATCGATCATCATATAAAAGATTTGACACACACATTACTCACTAAATATATATCTTTCGTTTTTTTTTCTTGAATTATTATGATAACATTTTTGAAAAGTAGATTGGAATCTAATTTAATTTATTAAAATTAATTTGTAAAGTAAAGATTATCTTCTATTTATACATTTTTTAATTCATATATCTTTAATTGATGTAAAATTTAATTTTTTTTAATATATTGGTTAAAAACTAATCTCGTTCGTAATATTGTGATTATCATTAATTTAAATGATTTTTGTATATGTTAAAAATTAAATATAAAATTACTACTAATTATATCATTTTCATAACATGTGAGTACGTGCTATATAACCAATACGTTAACTCATTATATTAAATATATATTTCATTGAAAGAAAGTATGAGATAATAACTCTATTATTGTACATATTTATATTTAGTTGTAAAACCATGAATGAAGCTAGGTACAAGAGCTTCACAAGTATACATGGTAGAGAAAACAGCAAGAAAAATTCTCAACTTGACCTATTTAATTCCCATGCATTTCCCGATATTTAATTTTGTGCCAAGAATTTGACTAATTAAATTAATCTTCTAAGACCAAGAAATAAAACAGAGAGAAAACCATTTGTTTCTTGTTCCTATTCTTCCTTCTTTCGTGGGTGTTGTCTACAACATATGGAGTAAAATATTCACTACCTACCACCAATATGAAAAACACTACATGTTGAACCACATATACTTTATATGAACGACTAATTAAACTTGACATGGAATCATTATGTCAAATTAACATTAATGGGCATTGAATGAAGACTCACTTTTCTTTTGTAGCAATAGAATCAACAAGTTTCTCTCATCAAGCTGTGAACATGATTTCGAAAAACAGACATGAAATGATGCATATGTGCCATGATGTAACTTATTTCAAAATTAAGAAAATCGCCAAGAAACAGAAAATGATGGAGGAGGAGAAAGAGAGAACACAAAATATTCCATGGTATTCGTGAAGAAGCAGCAATAGCATATGATCCTATAAATAAACTGTACATTTTTTTTTTCAGTCTTGTTTATTTATTTATTTATTTTTATTTAAAACAACTTGGTTTTCTAAACAACGAAATTTCAGAGGTTTAGGGGACATCATGATTGATCGAGCATTATGCATCTTTAATATATATATTAAAAAAGAATTTAAGACAAATTTATTTTTTTCATATCATCTACTAATCATATAACTAAAAATTCTCGAATTTTAAGGTGATTTGATATATAATTAGTTGAAAAATTTTATGCATTTTTTTTTTGTGAAGAAAATGTACAAGGAAATGCTTGTATTTGAAGACAACCAAATTTATTAATTTGAACCTTTATTCCTTTGTGCATAGTTAGCTTCTGAAGCAATGTCTTCGCAACTCAATGCAAATGTTCTATCAATTGCTTGAAATTTATAACAGAAGAAGCTTCCTCTTTCGTGTTTTTTCATTAACTTTGATATCACAACTTCAAATAAGAGAATTTGCTTTATTGAAAATTGAAAGGTAACTTAAGCTTGCGTTCTATTATTGTGGAGAATATATTGAAGCATATTCTCACAAACTTATAACAACGTATAATATGCTCATCCAAACTCTTTTTTAATTGGTTCAAAAATAATATAAAAAACTATTAGCCCAAAGGAACGAGTAGAGAGGCCCAATAAGAAAATAACACCAATGCAAAGTTTTCATAAGAGTCCTTGACAGTGACAACAAGATACATGGACCATTTCTGCATATTGGGCTAACAAAATTGCCTTTCATATGAAAGGGTTTTGACTTATTTCTCTTACATGAGAAATTAGTTTAAGCAGACACAAAGTGAGAGATTTTAGATTCACCTAAAATGTGTTTGGATGAAAACTTTGGACAGTAATTCATTCTTTCGATGAATTTAAAATAGACTAAATTATACTTTTCATCACCTATCATTTTCAATATGCAATTTTTTTAGTCTTTTTCTTTTAATTACGCAATTTTCATTCTTTTACTTGTGTTTCAACATGTTCACGAAACTATGGCAAATAGTGAAGTTGCAATTGATAATTTGAGGGACAAACTATAATATGCCAAGCAAATCATTTATTTGAAGCAACCTCAAAAGGTGTTATAACAACCTAAAAATGATTTGGAACATGTTCGACAATTGGAACATACATTGGAGAAAAGGATCTCAATAAGCACTTGGACACTTTTTTAAACAAGATTTGTTTATTGAGGCCCTAGATGTGATAATATGTTGAATTTTCTCTAAGTTGGTTTCGATCTCTCCCTCCAATGTCTGTACATAGTTGGGAACATATTCTGGACTGAACTTCGTTCAATGACCTTTAAGTTTAGAATGTAAATCAGTCCAATAATAACATGTAGAAAACATTTTTCAATTAAATTAAAGCATGACGAATAATTACCCATTTGACATACTAAAATCTTTTTAAACATTTTAAAAATAAATCAATCACATTCTTAATTATATTTGTTATTCAACAGTTGTAATGAGATTTTATTCTCACGAGTTACTAATATTTTCCTTATTATTAGATTATTATTTTTTAGCTATTATTAATAGGAAATAATTTGATTGCAATATATAGGATCGATTATTTATTTTTTAGACTATGCCTCTATACATCTCTTAGTAAGCGCGAAACATTCAAATTCAACTAAGAAAATAAGATTATAAATATCTTGGATCAATCTTTACAAAGTATGTGCTTCATCTCTTACTTTTATTTTTTTTATTATTATTGAATTTCTAGTCTTACTAACTAACTTAATAAGTGTTAGAATTTTTGTATGTGATAACCATTATCATTGGAACGATAAGACCTTTTTTTATACAAGTCCTTCCAATAATTAGTTACAAATTAATATAAACTGCTTTTAAGTCATGAAATTTTATTATTAATATATAATTATTTAGAAATACTATTTTTTTTAAAAAAAATATGGGTATAACACCATATTATATTAAGATGGAGTATTGTTATTTGGTAAGAATTTATCTTATGAAAATAAAATATATGGATCCTACTTGTCTTTTTCTTATTGGATGATCATGTATTCTAAAAAATAAATAAAATCAGAAAAATTGACATAAATTAGTTTGACGTTCTTGGTACATAAGTCATCATAAGTGTAACCCTTAATTTAATACAAGTCTTGTGTTAGAAAACTATTAATTATAAGTAACTCGTATAAGAATTTATTTTAGATTAAATCATCCTATTAATTATTCAATTAATTGCTTAAAAGTGAAGAGTTGTTATCAGTATTAGAAGTCATAATAAGTATATTTGTTAGTTTCTATAATAAAAGAACTAATAAAGAATTGTTATGATAATAAGGAAAGTGAGTCTCTTGCCTTACTCATGAAAAAATCCATGATATTCTATTAATTCACACATATTAAAAAATTTTAAGGTCTATCTGCATCTCTAAATATGGAAAATACTTAGTTAGATATTTAGTTTTGTTTATGAAAATTTCTTTTGAATAAAGTTTGATAACAATAATTACAAGATGTATGTTATATATCGTCACTATAAATTATAGAATCAAGTTTAATATTTATTACATTATACAATTAAAACAACTTATCATAAATTTTACATTTGTGTGTGTGTGTGTGTTTTTAAATGACGCTTTTAAGTAGTCATGTTTAGTAAATAAATTCAGTTAATTTTGGATTATAGTATCTAATTAAGTTTTTATAATTTTTTTTTAAACAACTTAATTATTAAAAAAAAACTACCAATAAAGATTTGATTTAACAAAAGGTATTAATTTTACAAAATGAAGAAATCTCCATCAAAGAAGGTATCTGAAAAAAACAAAAAAAATTCTTACAGAAAATACCCATGAAAAAAAAAAATCTAAACTCTATGAGTTGTATGTTTGGTTATAGTTGTATGGGTGAGAGGTAACCTTGTTCCCATGTTTATTAATTCCTCTTATCCCCTTCATTTTCATGTGGTGAACATCTTCCTCCCCCAAAAAACAAAGGTTGTTACACCCTGTCTTATCCACTTTCCCTACGAAAT